CATACACGCCCTGAGGTCCTCACACTGCCCACACTGACCCCCAGGTCCTCACACCGCCCACACCGACCCCCAGGTCCTCACACCACCCACACAGGCCCCAAGGTCCTCACACCGCCCACACCGACCCCCAGGTCCTCACACTGCCCACACAGGCCCCAAGGTCCTCACACCGCCCACACCGACCCCCAGGTCCTCACACCGCCCACACAGGCCATGAGGTCCTCACACCACCCACACAGGCCCCAGGTCCTCACACCGCCCACACAGGCCCCCAGGTCCTCACACCGCCCACACAGGCCCCAGGTCCTCACACCACCCACACAGGCCCCAGGTCCTCACACCACCCACACAGGCCCTGAGGTCCTCACACTGCCCACACAGGCCCCAGGTCCTCACACTGCCCACACAGTCTCCCGAACAGGCTTAAGATCCTTGGTAGACACCCCACCTGACACAGGAGGCTCTGAGGCCGAGAGAGGCTGGGCCGTGGGGTGAGGCAGGGGACACCGGGGGCCGTCTTGTTTACTTGGACACCCTGAGTTACCAGTGATTAGATGCTTCAGAATTTAGAGTGGGCATTCCAGGTGTTTCTCTCGGGCAGCCTGGGTTGGGCCCTCTTCTCAACTGGAGCGTCTCTTCCCCACTCTGCCCACAATGAAGGGGCCATTAGATTACGTCCATTCTGCAGAAGGGCAGACTGAGGCCCAGAAAGATGGGGACTTGTGTGAGGGCAGCACGTGGGGCTCCCAGGGCTGCTACGCCCCACACCCGGGAGGGCCCTGCACCCCAACCCCAGGAGGGCCACTGTGCCCTACACCTGGGAGGCCCAAAGAGGCATGTCTGCCCAGAGCGCTGGAGGCCAGCAGTCTGAAATCCAGGTGTCAGCTCTTGGGCTGCTCTGACGCCTCTTGGGAGCGTCCTTCCTTGCCTCTTCCAGCTTTGGTGGCTGCTGGCCACCCCCTACGTCCTCGGCTTATGGACGCATCACTCTGACCTCCATCCATGACTTCACACGCCTTCGTCCTGTGCGTCTGTGCCTCTTCTCAGAGGACAGGACTCGCTGGATTCAGAGCCCAGCTCAATCTAGGACGGCCTCACCTGGAGATCCTTAAAGACATCTGCAGAGACCTCACATCCTGAGGTTCTGCGTGACCATAGCCTTTGAGGCCATCATTTGACCCCTGCAGGCGGGCCGAAGGTTCAGAAGCCAGCTCAGACGGCCAAGTCCCTTCCGCAGGAGCCTCTCAGAGTCTCTCAGACCTCCGCTGGGGCCCTGTACCGGAGGAGCCCCAACTCCAGACCTTGGCTTCGGGACCAGCCCACCTCAAACTCAGCTCCTTGCTCTCTCCTTGCCGCCTGCACTCGGCCCCTGGGGAAGGGTCCTCATAGGGATCTGCTGCCCCTCTCACTTACCGCCTCCCACCCACCTGTGTCTGTGTCCCCCAGGACCTGGGACCACCCTAGCTCGGCCCCCGTGCTTGTTTTCCCTGTGCCCACCTGCCCGCTTCCCGCAGCCCAGGGTCCTGGGGCCGCCAGCACCAAATGGGCGCTGAGGGTGGGAGGCTCAGAGGACCTGCTTCCGGGGATCCAGCTGGGGTGCGGCCTTGATCCGACCCCTGCTTTGGAGGCTCCTCAGCGGCCCCCACCTCTTGTGGGATCAAGGTTAGACTTGGGCTGGGGCAGGTGCTGGGATGGGCGGCCGGGGAGCGGCCCAAGTCCGGCTGGGGAGGGTCTGCGCATTCCTGGCCCCATCGCAGCCCAAGGGGGGGGCGGAGCGGGGGCGGGGCGGGTACCGCGCGGGGCGGGGGCCCGGCGCTCACTTCCGGGGCTCCTTCTCCCCACGTTAATATCCGCGCTGTGGCTGGCTGCTGACCCAAGCGAAACGGAGTTTGCCTTTTCCCCTCTCGGCAGTTTTCTGTTGGCGAAGCAAAAAGGATCGCAGCGCGCGCTCACCTCCCCGCCCAGGGGGGGCCACTCTGGAAATGAACTATCCCACGTGGGCCGGTGCCTCCCGGGCGCGCGCTCAGAGCGGCGGCCGGCAACACCGCCGGCGCCCAGGCCGCGCATCCACCGGGACAGGCGGCGTCTGCATGCACGCGCTTCCGCGCCTGTCGCGCAGCCCTGGCACTGGGGATGGCAGGCGGTGAGCGCACCCCTGGAATCTTCTAGAAGCACTCGCGGCTGTAAGCAAGCCGGTGTGGGCTTACCCGTGGCCCACGGCCGCTGCGCAGTGACCACCGTGATGTGGCTGGGCAAGGAAGTGGGGCAGAAGCCCTGAGAGCAGTGGTGCCCGGGAACGGCCTATCTGCGGAGGCCACCAACCAGTTCCCGGAGGCCACAGGGCCCCACCGCAGAGGCAGGCGGAGAGAGCACCAGCAAAGCCTAGGAGCTGCGATCCTATAGGAGGGGGCATCAGGGTAGATGGAAAGGCCCCCCCTTGCATCCCGGTGCCCACACATACTCCGCGGAGTGGATCCCTCAGGCTCCCGGGGGGTCAGGCAGCACTGCCCACGTGGGAAAGGCCTCGGCCCATTCCAGCTCTCATGGGCGAGAGCCCGGGCCCACAGGGTCAGCTCTCCGGGCAGCCCATGCTGGACACTCAAGTGCCCCAGCACACAGCACAGCCAGGGCCTCCTGCTTGCTTGTGCCTGAGACCACCCTGAAGGCGAGGCCCTGACGAGGTAGACCCATGGCACCCACAGGGCTCGCCCACTGGCCTTGGCACCTTGGACTCTGCCCTCTGCCCTGAGTCCTGGCCCCTGGGGGGTGGCAGGGGTCTTGCTGGGGTGGAGGAACTGGTTCTGTCAGGCTGGGCCCATGCCCTTGACCTCTCCTGGAAGCCTCCTGGAGCAGTGGCAACTCTGCCACTGCCGATTCAGCTGTCCGGCAGGGACTCAGGAGACGCCAGGGAGGCTGGACAAAGCATCCATCCTGAGCCGGGGGAGGCTGGTGGGCCCCTCCAGTCTGTCTCCGTGTGGGGAGCAGCCCCCACCACCTGACTAGACTGGAGGTGGCCCAGTGGCAGGTGGCCAGCCGAGGGCAGCTCCCACACTCTCCCCCACTCCCCTGGGGTCTGGGTGGGGTGGTGGGCGGCGGGGGTGGGGGACTGCATCTCCTGGACAGGCGCTGCCGACCCTGTCTCTGATTAGCGTGTAATGCTTCCTTGACGCGCAATTTTATTAACGAAATTAATAAGTGCTGAGGGGACCCGGGTGACCTCGGCCGGTTCTGCTGAGATGGGGATTTTTCCGGGCAGGGCGGGTGGGGAGGGGTGTACCTGGCCCCCACACTCCTGGACTCCAGCCCTTCCCTTCTGCCTCTGACGACTGCGCTCCCTGCGGTCCCAAGTTGCCCCACCTCACACACGCTCAGATACACTCAGGCACAGGGGCACACTCAGCTCACGCAGCTACGCCCACACCCATGCGCGCACACACAGACACATGCACATCCAGACTTACACCACGCTCACACAGACTCACAGATACACTCAGGCACACTCACTCATGCAGTCACGCCCACAGCCACTCACACAGGCACTCACACCACACTCACATACACACATACTCACATGCAGTCATGCGCGCGTGCGCGCGCGCACACACACACACACACACACACACACACACACACACACAGTTCTCTCACACCCCGGGACTTCGGCATTTGGGCTAAAGCAGAAGGGATGTGATGGGACGCCAGGGGCCGATGGACCGAGCTTGGAATGGGGCTGCTCCCACCTGGGGACCAGACCCCATGACAGCACGGGGGACTGCCTGGGGACTCTGCCTGCAGGGGAGGCAGAGTCTCTCTGCTCTCCTGGTCTGCTGCCGGCCTCTCCCCTCCCCTTCCCCAACTGCCGGAAGATCAGTCTCCTATGGCGGCTTGAGCAGATGGTGGCGGCTGCCCCCTGGTGACCACAGGGGGGTGTAGTCTCGGCCCAGCTCTGTCCCTCTTCTCCTTGCCCCTGCCTGGTCTTTTGGGGGCCCCTCCACTGAGACATGCAGACCTGAGCACCCCCTTCCACCGTGGTTTCCCCAGCTCACCCCAGCCTGCCACTGCCACCCTGCCTCCCTCACGTGTGGCCTCTCGGGGGCCTGCCACTGTCCCCATTTCCCAGCTTGGGGACCTGATGGCTCATGGCCTGAGAAGCCAGCCGAGGGCGGCAGGGGCTGGGCAGACATGGCAGAGCCCTCGTGGGCCAGGGACAGGGTGGGGGCCCCTGCTGGGAAGACAGACAGCTGCCAAAGCTTGCCTACCACGGCCTCCCGGCTCGCACGTCAGGGGCGCGCGGGCCTGTGGGGGGCAGAGAGTGGGGTGGGAGGCAGGGAGAGGCCAAGAGAGGGTGGAGGCGGGCGAGGGTCCTGCTGGGCTCTTCCCAGAGGGGCTGGGCAGGGCAGGAAGGGCAGCCTGGGGGCCGGGGAGGAAGCCAAGCCCCATTCAGCCCCACCGGGTGGGTGGGGCGGACAATGGAGGGAGGCAGCCGGAGGAGCTTGGCTCAGAGCAGGGTTGGGCATGGGGATCTGTGCCAGGCAGCAGCAGGGTGGCTGGGCACCAAGGGAGGGTGTGGACAGGTGTGGGGGGGGGGTGGTGCACAGGTAGCCCAGCTCAGGGAGCCCAGGCGAGGGAGGATGCAAGCTACAGGGACCCACAGCCGCGCATCCTGCCCCCCCGCCCGCCAGCTTTCCAGGATGGCTTCTCGAAGCAGCCAGAACCCCTCTGCCCACCCCCAGGCAGCTGCCTCCACTGTTCAGTGCCTTGGACAGGTGAGGATGGCCCCTTGGACACCCAGGCCAGCCAGGACGCACAGCTTCCCACGTGTGGGTGTGCTGCCCAGGGCCCAGGACTGGGCGAACACGCTTGCTTGTCTGAAGACGGTATTTAATGGCAGGTGGGGTCCTTCCTGAAGCCCTGGGGGCTGGGCAGAGCCAACGCTGGCCTGAAGGTCCCCTGGGAGGGACCAGGCTTTCACAGCCAGCCTGGGCACTCGGAGGGTGAGGGTGGCCCACAAGGGGCAGGGGCCGGTGTGGCGGTCCCTGCAGGGGCCAGGGGCTGGGGATAGCCTTTGGCCTTGCTCCCCTTGGTCTTGCGGCTCCAGCCGAGCAGAGGCCTGGGGCTGGCCTGGGCGGGCGCTGGCATCTCACAGCCACACTCCTTCTGGCTCCTCAGGAGGCCCCCCGGGCCCAGCAGTGCCGGCCAGCGGTCCCCCTGCACCCGGACAGAAATACAGTCAGCCACCCCACAGGGCAGGTGCCGGGAGACGGGGCACACTGTGCAGTGGGGCCCCAGGGTTTGCTGCTTCACCCCCTCGGCCGTCGGGGGGATGAGGCCTCTGGGGCAGGGTTGCCAGGAGCCCCAAGGAGTGCCAGGGACACAGGCCCGGCTGATGGCCTGGGGTGGGCTGGTACGTCCTTGAGGGCAGGATGGGGACTGCTGGGGGTGACGGCAGGTGCAAGGCCACCGCCTGAAAGGCCCCCATTAGCGCAGGTTACCTGCCCGCATCCCTGCTCTTCCCAGGGGGAGTCCTTCCAGAGCATCAGGGCGGGCAGCTAGACCCTGTGCCACGCTGGGCCTCACCGTGCCGGGCAGCTCGGCGCCGGACAGCAGCGTCACCACGCCCAGGTCCACGCCCTCGTCACCCGCACTCCGCAGCTGCGCCACCACCTCCGCGTGCTTCCACCACTTGCACGGCTGCCCGTTCACGGACACAATGTAGTCACCCTCCTTGAGGCCGGCCGCCTGCGGGGACGCTAGTGAGCGGGTGGACTTACCCTGGGGAAGGGGACTTGGCGAGGGCAGGTGGCCCCTTACCGCAGCCTGGCCCCCCGGGATGACGGCGGCGATGAGCACAGGCGAGTCTCCCCGCAGGGTGAAACCGAAGCCCCCCTCTCCTCGGGTCACACGCACTGGCCCCACCAGCCGCCACCGGTTCTTGGCTGAGAACACGGACAGGGGTCCCTGGGGTGGGATGTGGTCAGAGGTCAAAGCCTCTGGCCTGACTAGCCCCCCGCCCCCAGCCCTGTACACTCCAGGACAGACTCCAACGGGGGCCCCTGGAGAGGCGGACCAGGCTCCCCTTGTTCACGTTGGGGGTCTGGTCCCAGGGACCAGGTAGGGGCCTGAGCGGGGTGGGCACTCACCAGCCGGTGGAAGATGTCAGCCCTCTTCATCTGGGAGAAGCTGGGTGTTCTGACCTCCGGCTTCTGATGGGTTTTAGCTGAAAGGGGGAAGGTGGAGGGAGGCTCTGAGGACCCCAGTCCCCAGCCAGGATGCCGGCGCGGCCAGGGAAGCTGGGCCCTCAGAGCCCGGCCCTGACGGGATCAACAGGCCAGCCTGCCCCCACCCCAAGGAGCTGCCCGGGCCCTGGCACAGGTGGCCCATCTGCCCAGGGAGCTCCAGGCGGTTTCCCTGGGAAGTGCCCCCTGAACACTGGCTGGCGGGGGGCCCCGGGACCACAGGCGGTGTGGGCTGTGTGGGTGACAGGTTCCAGCACCCCTCCCTAGGGCAGGACCGGCTGGGGGACTGGGTCAGGATGGTGGTTCTGCCTTCCCCAGGCTCCCTGGACCCACTACCTAGAACTGGGCCCTCCCGGGTCCTCAGAGGCTCAAGTAAGCCACGAGCGGCAGCTCTGGGAGGCTGGAAACGCGCTTCACAGGTGCCATGACCACAGCTCCGCAGCCAGGGCCTGTGAGGGGTGCCCACCCCGGGCCCACCGCTCACGCTGGATGTCGGGGGCCTCGGCGGCCTCGAAGAAGTCGTCCTCGCGGTCGAGCTCTGCGTACTTGGCCAGCGAGTGCCGCAGCGCCTGGGCCACCACGGCCTGCAGCAGGTCCACCTTGCGAGGCACACGGCATAGGCTGTGCAACCTCAGCGCCTCCTCCTGCCCCAGGATGGCACGCCTCAGGTGGGCCTTGCCTGCGGCGGGCAGCGGCCGTCACACAGTGCGGGGACAGTCCTACCCCAGGACGGGCGAGACAGGCGGGGCGGGGAGGCTTCCGGGGTCAGCCCGAGGGTCCCAGCACGGCTGGCCTCGGGGTGGGGAGTGGGCCACTGGGGAGCTGCAGGTCCTCCCAGACGTCCCCCTACCAGGCAGGGGTCACAGGAGGTGTTGGGGGGGTCTCCTGCCCTCCTCCCTGCAGGCCTCACCACGCTTCCTGCGCTCCTCCGGCTCCAGCGGCAGCGTGGGGCCCAGCGGCTCAGAGGCCCAGGGTGGCCCGAAGACCTCATGCATGGGGAGCTCTCCCTCGGCCGGCGCTGGGGGCAGAGACGGTGAGCCTGGCCACGAGCGCCCGCCCGCCCGCCCGCCCGCCACCACCCACGCAGGCCTACAGGGCATAGGACTCACAGGGGCTGTCACAGAGAGCCACAGCCGTGTGGAAGTGGGCCAGGGCACGGAAGTACTCGGCCTTGGCCTGGACCAGGGCGGCCCAGGAGCGGGGCATGTAGTCACGGGCAGGTGGCTGTGCCAGGGCCCGGTGCACGAGGCCGTACTCGGCCGCCACCTGCCAGAGGGCACTGCAGAGTTCAGGGCACTGGGGCAGGCCAGCGGGGCCCAGCCAGCCTCAGCCCTGCCCCGCCCCAGCCCGGACCCAGCCTCTGTCCACCTCAACCCAGGTCAAGCAGCCCCCACACCCCACATGGAGGGGACTCGGGGGTCCCCAGTTCTTGCTCTGGTTGATGCCACCCCTCCCCAGCAGACGGGCAGAGGCCACCAGGCAGACCGCAGTGATGGGGACCCATGCACAAGTGGGGACGTGAAACACGGGGTTTGGGGCTGGCACTGTGATGGGGCCACAGGGCCCAGGACGAAAACACCAGCTCCAGGGACCCAACACACGGGGACGTGGCCACCTCACCTGCCCAGCCTGGGCCTCCCTGAACCCTGCTCTGCCCCTCCCTGCCACCCTCACCCACACCCTGCCCCTCCTGCCCACTGGGGCCGAGACCCTGGGGAGGGTCCCAGCAGGGCGGTGGGGGCTGCCCATCCTCACCTGGGCGGCCTCCTGGGCCAGGCGCAGCTGGGCTGGGCTGTCATGGGGCGCGGTGGGGGCCGGCAGCAAGAGGCCCTCGAAGACGCACTCCTGGGCCTGGGCGGTCATGAGCTGCTCCAGCACGTGGAGCGCGGTGGGGCTCATGTCGGGGCTTGGTGCGTGGGAGAAGCTCTCCCTGAGGAGGCTGAAAGCCCCTGCAGAGGGGAACGCTCATCCCAGGCCCCAAGGCCCCTCCATGCCCGCCGGTCCCTGCTCAGCCCCCGTGCTGCCTGCGGGCCACACCCCACCCACTGCTGCAGGCCCGGGCAGCCCTCACCTGCAGCCCGCTGGAAGGCCTCGATTGCCCGGCCGGAGCCCTCGACACAGGAGCGGTCCTGGCGGGCCCCGATCTGGGTGTAGAGGGCGCCAATGTTGAAGAGCACGCTGCCCTTCTCAAAGGCCAGGGTCTGCTGCTGGGCCGGGACCCCCGTGAGCGAGTCATACCTGCCGGGTGGGGTCAGGGCTGGTGAGGACCCTCGGCACGGGGTGGGGGAGCTGAGGGTGGGCAGGTGATGGGAGAGGACCGCGTGGGAAGCCCGGCCGCCAGGCCCCCCTACCAGTGGAAGAGCAGCCCCAGGCTCCTGGTGGGCGCCGAGAAGCGGGCGTCCAGGAAGCAGAGCTGGCTGTAGTAGACCATGAGCAGCTCCAGGCCTGCCTGGTCTCGGCTGGGCATCCGCATGGCCTGTAGGGAGCAGCCAACTGGGCCCCACTGCCTAGCCCCCACCCACAGCATGCTCACCGCCCTGGGGGCCCACCGGCAGCACCCAGGGAGGGGCAGAGAGCATGAGGTGCCCACGGGCTCAGTGCTGGGGGCCGCTCTAGGGCACCCCCATCCCCAGTGAGGCCGCACCCCCTCTCCACCCATGCCAGCCACACCAGGGCACGCCCCCCCTCCCCTGGGCCACGCATGCCACCCGGGACCCAGTGCAGAGCACGGGGTGAGCATCAGCGCTGGGGCGAGGGGCCAGCAGGCTCCCCAAGGACGGAACCCCTTGGGGGGTGTACGGACCCTCCTGTGCTCTGGTCCCTGCCACCCAGGTGAACATCTACACTGAGTTCCTGGCTGGTTCCCAACTTGAGCCTCAGTTTCCTCATCTGTGAGCTGGGTGGGCTGCAGGAGGCCTTGTGGAGGGCAGCTGGGACCCTGGCTCAGGACCCGTGGCTGCCGTGCCCCGGGAGGCAGTGGGGTGGGGGCAGGCCACACACCTGCCTCAGGTCCTCCAGCTCCTTCAGTTCCACCTCGTAGGAGGCGCTGTCCTCGCCAAAGTGCCTTGAGATCAGCTCCTGAGGGGTGGGGATGGGGTGAGGCAGGCGGCCTCCTGAGGTCTCCACGGGGCGGGGAGAAGGGCTAGGGTGTTGGGTGGGTGGCAGAAGGCTGGCCCCCGAGAAGGGCTGGTGTGTGTGCAGGGCCTGGTGGGCACTGAGCTGGGTCCCCTGGCCCCGGGGTTCCTCACAGATGATGCCGGCCCCCACAGATGTGGGCCAGGACAGCTGGCGGCACTGTTGTTGCATCCCCTACTGACCCCACAGCGACCCAGTGACACAGTGACCCGCAAGGCAGGAGCCGGCTGCCGTCTGACAGGCCACCCGCGAGGCAGGTGCCGGCTGCCGTCCGACAGGCGAGGAAATTGAGGCACTTGGAGGTAGACCATTTGCCTCGGGGAACCTACTGGCGGTGGCCAGGCCAGGCCCACCTCCCAGCACTGGGCCCATGGGGCCTCAAGAAGACACTCAGGACCCGGGAAGTCTCAGAATAGGCTCTGGTTTGGAGTGGGCAGGCAGCCCCCAGGCCAGAGGGCCCTCAGAGCATGAGTTCCAGGACCCTGGAGCCACCCCAGGGCTGCCAGCAGGACGGCTGGGCTTGGCACACTGTCCCAGGGCAGGGTGCCCACTCACTCCAACCACCCCCAGGCAGAAACGTCTCTGCCTCCGGGGGGTCCAGTGTGGCCTGCAGAGGAGAGGCCAGGGGGATCGGCTGGGAGCAGCACCCCTGTGGCTCTGCTCAGGCCCCTGGCGACCAGGCTAGCCTCTTCCTCTCTCTGGGCCTCGGTTTCCTCATCTGCTCAATTCCCGGGCAGGGCCAAGAACCTCGGACCCTGATCCCTTGAACCCCAGGGCAGGGTCGTGATCCTTCAGACCGCCTGGGAAGGGCCGTTATCTCTCAGACCCCTCAGGGCAGGGCAGGCCCCCCTTGGGCCCCACAGAAGGGGGCTCAGCAGCACTTACCTTCAAGGGTGTGGACCAGTCCAGCTCCCTGGTCTCCTTCAGGCCCAGAGGGATCATGGGGATGCTGACGCCTTCCCTGGAACCAGAGTGTCCACTCCAGATGTCCCCAAGTACCAGGTGCCACCCATTGCTCCTGCCCTACTGACGTCTGCCCCTCCCTTCTATCCACACGTCCACACGTGCTTCATCCTAGAACGCAGCCACACACACAGGCGTGTACACACACGCGCACACACTGATGTTAAGATTGTGGGTCAGCTTGGCTAGGCCGTGATTCTCAGTGGTTTCGCAGATACTACGTAATCATCCTCCATTCTGTCATCTGATGTGAGCAGCCAATCAGTTGGAAGGGGAGTTTCCTTGGGGGTGTGGCCTGCATCTAATATATATGGATGTTCTGGCAAAGCTCACTGTCTCCATCCTGCATCTAACTCATCTTCCTCTGACCTCTGGTGCTTGGGAAGTGAGCCAGCAGCCTGCTGTCTGACCTGCAGATTTTGGGATGAGCAGCTCCCACAACCCCACGAGCCAGCAGCCTTCCACCTGACCTGCTGATTTTGGGTTCGTCAGCCCCTGCGACCACGTGAGTCAGGAGAAGCCTCCAGCCTGACGCCTGACCCACGGATTTGGGACTTGTCAGCCTCTACAACTGTGTGAGCCATTTCCTTGAAATAAATCTTTCTCTGTATATTTACATATTTACACTTCACTGGTTTTGCTCCTCTAGAGACCCCAGCCTAAGACACACACACACCCCGCCAGGGCGTGTCCAAACACACTCTGTCCTGGAACGCAGCCTCACACACACACACACGTACCCCCCCCATGCTGGGGCACAACTATGCACACACAGACACGCACACGCACACACCCCTCGTGCTGGGGCATGTCCATGCGCACGCACACACACATGCACCCCTTTTGCTGGGTCACATCCATGCACACACACACACACACCCCTCGGGCTGGGGCACATCTATGCACACTCACACACACACACGCACCCCTCGTGCCGGGGTGTGTCCACGCTGCTGTTGAGCTCCTCCAGCTCCTCCTTCAGCAGCTGCAGGCTGGCATTGACGTAGCTCAGCTCCAGGACGACCGTCTCCCTGACCTGGCTGTTGCTGGTGGCTCTGGGGGGCCAGGTGAGGTCACAGCCCTGTCCTGAGGCAGACCCAAGCCCGGCCCCCACCCCCGACCCTGCTGACCCAGCCCAAGACGATGCGGTGGTCCGAGGGTCCAGGGTGCCCCAAACAGGCACAAGATGGCCCTCGGCTGGTTTGGGTGACCTCCCAGTCCCCTTCCTACAGTCCTTGTCACCCAGTCCCCCTCACAGGCAGTCTTGACTCTTCCCTACCCAGCCCCAGGACACAGGCTCGCCCATGGGACTCAAGACCACCTCCCCTGGAGGAGCTGGGGAAATCTGAGCTCTCCATGCCTGTGTCTGGGGGACGGACAGGGGGCAGTGGGCAGCAAGAAAGGCCAGGCTGCGCAGGGCTGAGGCAGGCGGTGCTGGAATGGGTGAGGGGCCCTTTGGACTGGAGCATAGCCCCCGACACAGCCTGTGGTCCCCCCCGAGCCTCAGCCTCCCCTGCAGAGTGGGGTGTGCAGGTGTGGGGCTTTAGTTCAGCAGAGACTGGAGAGATACGGCCACAAGCCAAGGACTGGACAAGCTCCAGAAGCCGGACAAGACAAGGGAGGACTCTCCCTGGAGCCTCCAGAGGTACCCTGAACTTGGACTTCTGCACTCCAGAACTGTGAGCAAACAAATTCCTCTTATTTTAAGCCCCTGGTGTGTGGTGCTTTGTTCCAGCAGCCCCGGGACTCACACACCCAGCCTGGGCCTGGCCTGCAGGGGCCTGGAAGTGACTGAGGGCCGGGACAGCGGCAGGCGCTGGCACCCACCTGTATAGGTTCTCGGCGCCCGTCCGCATGCGCAGCTCCTTGTTGATCAGCTGGTGGACGCGGGCCCTGCGGCTCTGCAGGCGGCTGTGCTGTGACTGAGCCAGCGGGTCACAGCTCTGCAGGGAAGCCACACAGGGGTCACGGTGGTGGGCTGCCGTCGGGCCCCAAGCCCCCAAGGAGGCTCAAGAGGGAGCCTGGCCGTGGGGGCGTGTCTCCTGACGGCCATCTGGGAGATCCCGTTCTCTTCCTGAGGAGGTGCTGTGTGAACACCTCAACGAGGTCCCTGGTGCCCCTGTGGGACAGTCCCCTAGGCGGTTCCTAGGTGGGCATGTGGGGTGCACGGCACTCGATGCTCTCAGCCCCACCTCAGCCCAGGAGCCACCACAGGCCCTTCCTACCCTGACCCTCCTCGCTCTCCACCAGGGTCCAGGCTGAGCCTACCCTGGGCATGTCGCCTCACCGCCTTCTCTGCACCCTTGCACCCCCATGCCCCCTCTCCTCCCCTGCGCTCTCTCCTCCCCCGCCCCCTCTCCTCCCCTGCGCTCTCTCCTCCCCTGCACCCTCTCTCCTCCCCTGAGCCCTCTCCTCGACCCTCCACATCCTCTCCTCCTGGCGCTCTCTGCTGCACAATGGAAGCCTCACCTTGACATAGCCACGAGGGGGTCACGAGAGCTGGACATGTGCCAACAAGGGGGATACTGAGGAGGTGGGGCCCATATCCCGTCCAGCCCCGTGTGCTCCACTCCCTCCACTGGGGGGTGGTGCACAGGCCCCAGGGCTCGGCCCACGGCAGGACCCCCTCCCTGGTCACTGGACATTCTGCCCTTGGACCCTCCACCCAAATCGGCTACTCCAGAGGCACGCCTATAGGGTCGCTGTGAGTCAGAATCGACTCGACGGCAATGGATTTTTTTTTTTTTTTTTTTGGTTTAGGGGCACCTCGGCCCAGCCTCCTTGAGGGCAACCCATCATGTAGATGCCCAGGGCTGGGCTCCCCCAATCCGCATGGATGCCCAGGGCTGGGCCCTCACTCGTTGACCTGGCTCCAGAGCCTCCACCTGAGACCCTGCTGCCTCCTGCAGATGCTTGGGGGGACTGGAAGGGCAGGGGCCTCCGCGGCTATCAGAAACGTGGACTTGGAGCAGGCCCTCCCAGGGACTGGGCAGCTCCCTTGAGCAGGGGGAGGCCAGTCTGGGGTGGACGAGGAGAAAAGGAGGCAAACGCGCCCCCCCACCGCGTGTATCACTGTCTTCCTGACGGTGGGGCTGCACCCCTTCTCTGCAGTGACCCCAGGCCTGCCTATGAACACAGGCGGCCGGCCCTCCAAGACGCCTACGGAGCCAGAGGTGGGGGCAGATGGGCCACAGCCGAAGCCACAGTCCTCTCCTTCCAAAGCTGACCTGCAATGTGCCAGCAGCTGCTACAGATCCTGAGTGGGGGGGACATCCTCCCTGGAGGGGGAGATCTGCCTCAAAGTGGGGGTGAGGACATCTGCTCCAGGGCGGGCGGGGGTGCATCTGCTCCATGGCAGGGGGTCCGTGTGCTGGGCAGAACCGCCTAGCTCCGTAGGCTGCCTAACCCACACGACATAGGATGTCCCGATGATCCAGCTGCTCCCTGCCCCCTCCTGGAGAAACGTGTCAGAAGGGGAGGGCAGAGGAGAGAACCACAACCTCAGAATCGGGTCTGCTCAGAGCTCAGCTGGGCACCCCGATAACCCCTAACTGCTCCCCCAAGGCCAGGCTGTCTGCACAGCCTGCGGGGCTGGCATGGGAACAGCCATGGACTTCGGAAGCCAGCACCTCTCACCCTCCAGACGGTGAAGGTGGGCCCCGAGACCCCGCAGGCGAGGAGCTCAGGCGCCGGGCCACCCGGTCTCCCGCTATCCCCAGCACACAGAGGTGGTCTGGTTCCAGCTCGCTGGGGCCCTGGACCCGCTGCGGTTGTTTCTGGCTCCACTGCGGACAGAGCAGGGGTGTGGCCTCTGGGCATCCCCACAGTGGCTGCACCGGGGCTGGGCCTTGGCAACAGCTGGCGGAAAGGGACAGAGCAAGAGAAGCGAACGCCCTGCACCCGCCCTGCGGCAGAGGTCAGCCTGCACCTGCTGCCGGGGACACCGGGCCCATGACCTCAGGACGGGAGGAAACCGGGCGTGGGCTGCTGCCAAGGCCACGCTTCCCAACACTAACAGCTGCGCTGGGGTTCCCAGGCTGGTAAGCCCCTGTGGTCTCCCCTGGGCATGGAGCTCAGGACTGGGGTGACGCTTGGGGGAGGGTCACTTCGGGCAGTTACTGAACCCATCCCTCAGGTGTGCTATCTGAGGCCTGGCCCAGCCCCAGCACTCGCTCCCCGAGAGCCAGCTCTGCCGTGTGTGACTCATGCCCCCTCCCCGCCAGCAGGGCCAGGGTCCCACCACCACGCCACGGGCTCCTGTGCCCCACTTCCCCACCCCAACCTGTGTGGGCAGATGCAGGCCAGGATTCCCTGACTGATGGGCCACTGCGGGACAGAGGCACAGTGAGGGCTGGGTCGTTGCTGCAGCCACAGAGAGCCCACCACAGCCCACGGATGAAGGCGCACCTGTGGGGCCCTGTGGAGCCGCTTGTCTGCAGCCTCCCAAACCGCTCCTCCAAACACTGCTGGGGGGTCACGGGGCCAGGCCTGGCCTCTCCTCTCTCTCAGAGTGGATCTGAGTCAGATCAGGTCACCTCACCTGGCCCACGGCCTGCCTCTCTCCTCCTGCCCGGCACACCGGGCCCAGACACACAAAAGCTGAACTCAGTCAGCTGGAGGATAATGTGCAGCCGACACCTGAGAAAAAGGAGGGGCAGTGCCATGGTGGGGGCGCCTGGGCCTGGAGCAGGCACCACCTCTGCTGGGCAGCTCCAGGGCTGGGGGACAGGGCGCCTAGCGTGGAGCACCGGAGCAGCTACAGTGACCCCAGGGGCCACCCTGCAACAGGTCCTCATGTCCCGGAGCTTCTTCAGTGCTCTTGGAACCTGTCCTGGTCAGCACCCCGGGTTAGGGACTTCAGGAGGGGGGCAAAGGTTTACAAAGTGACGAGGAAGTGACAAAAGGACCAACTGCTCAGCGGAGGGGTCCTCCAGTGATGACCCACACCCCGAGACGTGTCAGCGACCTGCTACTCGAAGCAAAATCACATCAACGCCCAGTGAGGCAGCTGCCCCTCGGCAGAGGGGACAAAGCTAGGAGGGAGGAACTATGGGGCCGGAAGCAAACATGAGGGCCTGCGGCTGTCACACCCGGAGCCCAACACCTGCAGAGAAGGGAGATCCGGGAAGACCAGGGGCACCCTGCAGGAGGGCGGGGCTCAGTGGCTTCACAGAGGCCAACCGGCCAGACTCTCACCCCCTCCCAGTCATGGGAGGCCACTGGACACACCGTGACCCCAGACGGGGCAGCAAGGGACGCAGGCTCTGGCCTCTCCACCAGCCTCAATTTCCCCACTTTCCCCAGCGGTAAAGCCCTGCCTGCCTCTGGGGGTGGGGGGGGTGAGACATGGGAGAAGAGTCGCCTTCCAAAGACCCCCCCAGGCCTGAAGGTGGCTGTCTGGGGCTGGAGAGGCCAAAGCCAGCTCCTCTGCCCCAGACCGGGTAACAGGTGGCTGCCGGGCACCAAGCCAGGTGTTGGAGATTCCTGCTCCGCACCTGTCACTTCCCGGGTTCGGCACCCCTAACGACCTGTGCTGTGCACCCCCCCGCAATACCCCTGCACCCCGGGAACCCTATCTGCGCCCAAACACCCCGGCCCCGCGCCCCCAGGTACCTGCACTCTGCACCCCGCGATGCCCCTGCACCTTGAAAGCCTCAAATGCATCCTTGTCCCCCGCCTGCACCCCTGCAGACACCCCTGCTCCACATCGCGCAATACCCCTTCCTCCCGCGACCCCCAGCCGCACTCCCCGTGTCCTTCGCCCTGCACCACGGCACCCCGCGAGTCCCCCGGCCCCATCCCCCGCCTTGAACCCTCACCGACCCCGGAACCCCGTCTTGCACCGCCGCCCCGCGCCCCTCGCCCCGCCCCGTCGCACCCCGAGATCTCCCCACCCCCGCCCCGCTCCCCCACCTTGCGGCCGCTGCCCGCCGCTTGCAGCCGGGAGCTGTCCTCGCCGCCGCCCGGGACGTCTGGCCTCTCCTCGAGGATCATCGCCGCCCCTGCAGCGACCGATCGCGGGCTCCGACGGCCGCCGGGACAGGTTGCGCCGCCGCCCTTCGCCGCCCTCTGCGTGACTCACAGTCTTCCCGGTGGGGCGGCCCGGGGCCGGAGGCGTGGCTGGGAGCGCCGAGCGTGCGAAACTTGCCGCAACCAATCGGCGGCGGCGGTGACTCGGACGGACAGCAGCTGAGGCCAACCAGCCAGAGAGGGAGGCGGGCTCCGGGCGGGGCCTTGGCCCCGGGGGAGTGCGGTAACCCCGGCAACAGCTGGCCCGGAGCGCCGTGGGGACTGGGCAGTGCGCACGCGCGGAGGCCCGGCCCGCGGGGAGAGTTCGGGGAGAGGGGACGAGCGACAAAAAAGTGGGGACTGGGGACCGGGGCGCTCCTCCAGACCCTCCCGACGGAGATCGTACAGTCTCCGAAGCCTGGGCCGCCCGCGTCACCCGGCGCCCTGTCACCCCGGCAACGGGACCTCCGAGAGGGTTGCTCCGAAGGGTTCACAATGGGGTTTTCAAACGGTTTTGTTGGAGGCGAGCGCTTGCGGAGTTCTTGACAAAGGCGGCTTTCTTCTCGCGCCCGCTGACCCGCCCGGCCCGGCCCGCCGCGGCGCCGGCCTGCCCCGGAACGTGCCTCCAGAACCCGCCCGCTCCAGAACCCACCTGCCTCCAGAACCCACCTGCCTCCAGAACCCCACCCGCTTCAGAACCCTTCTGCTTCCAGAACCCGTCCGCCTCTAGAACCTCCCGGCTCTCAGAGCCTGCGCCCCTGCTGGGCTTGCCCCTGCAGCGTGCCTCCTCCCAGGTCCTTGTGTAACTGCGCTAGGTTTCTGGGGACTCTGGAACCCCCAGACTGCAGCTGGCTCTCCTCACCTGGGAAGGCAGCCATCCTAGGGCAGAGAGACCAGGGCATGGGCGCTGACCGCGCTCCTCTGCCGAGTTCTCTGAGCAGCAGTCTGTCCTAGCCGCCCTGCCAGGTCGCTGCCTCCTTGGTGCTGGGCCTGGGCTCCTTCTCCATGCCACGGGAGCCCAGCCCTGGCTGTGGCCCCTGTCGGGCCACCCTCCACACGAATTGCTCACATGCATGTGGATCCTGCCATCCCCGGATCTAAATCCTGTCAGCTGAGCTCCTTGGCTGCCCCCGCCAGAGTGGGCTGCCCCCAGCAGCGACCCCTCACCAGGCCCAAAGGCCCTCGCTAACCACTGCCAGCCCCCTGGCGAGACTGGCCTCCCGCAGTGGGCGGCCTTTGCTGCCCTGACGACCTCCGCTTGAAGCCCTTCCTTGTGTCAGCTGCCCACTGGACCCACTTGTCCTTCTCACTCCTACCCAGACTGCACAGACCACCGGATTCTTTGCCCACTCTCCTCCACCCACTGGTTCCCGAGTGTCCACGGCTTGCCTCCAGGGGGTACGCTGGTGCTGTGGGAAAGCCGGGCTCCAGTTTCTCTCACCCGTGGGTGCTGGGTGCTTGCTGATGCTTCCTAAGTTCACCGTGAAAAGCCCGTTGCTGTTGAGCCAATTCCGACTCGCGGTGACCCCGTGTGTTACAGAGTGGAGCTACTCTGAAGGGTTTTTTTTACTGTAATCTGTACGGAAGCAAATCACAGGCTTTTCTTCCACAGCACCACTGGGTGGGTTTGAACCGCCAACCTTTAGCTTAGTAATTGAGCACGAACTGCTTGCAACAGCCAGAGACCTAAGTTCCTGGGGAAGGTTCAGGGCATGGTGAGCCCCCTTTTGTGGGGCCTTTGGGTGCACAAAGCACCTCCATGCGGGCCGTCTCCTTCCACGCCTGCCACGAGCCCGTCACACAAAACAGAGCTCAGCCTTCATCACAGTCTTGAGAATTTCGGACACTCCGGGAGGCTTTATCTGTGTGCTTCGGCAAGCAGCTATCAATGAAGTAATACTTAGCTTTAAAATATTTATCACACAATTTACCAGCAATTTCGCCAGGGCTTTTTGGCTTGTCAGGCAGTGGCCATTGGGAGGTGAAGCAGTTGCCCTCAAAATCTGGGGGATGTAAGAGCCCCCAGGAATGCTTGTTGAAGATACAGACTCCCAGAGCCCTGGTGGCGCAGTGGTTAAGAGCTCGGCTACTGACCAAAAGGTCAGCAGTTCAAATCCACCCTGGAAACCCTATGGGGCAGTTCTATTAGGTCCTATAGGGTCGCTATGAGTCAGAACCGACTCGACAGTCAGGGAGAGTTATCCCCACAAGAGGATGTGGGCATGGTGAAGGACTTGAGGCGGACCCGGCCCCATTCCTGGGAAACCATGTCCTTATTCACCCTTGGTTCCAGAAGAAGCCGCAGTACCGGTGCATGGAAGCTGACCATCCAATTACCAGAAAATTTCCGAGCTGGTTGTTAAAAACAGCTGTTATTAAAAATTAAATTATGTAAACTTGCAATTAAATAAAAAACCCAGTTGCCATTGAGTTGAGCCCAACTCATGACAACTCCTTGTGTGTCAGAGTAGAACTGTGCTCCACAGGGTTTTCAATGGCTGATTTTTTGGAAGTGGATCACCAGGACTTTCTTCCAAAGCACCTCTGGGTGGACTCTTCAGTTAGCAGCTGACTACTTGAACCATAGGGACCTGTGATTATAGAAAGTCCTACAGTTAAATTGTTGTTGTTGTTAGGTGCTGTCGAGTTGGTTCCGACTCATAGCAACCCTACGTACAACAGAACAAAACACTGCCCAGTCCTGCGCCCTCCTCACAATCATTATCATGCTTAAGCCCATTGTTGCAGCCACTGTGTCAGTCCATCTTATTGAGGGTCATCCTCTTTTTCGCTGACCCTGTACTTCACCAAGTATGACGTCCTTCTCCGGAGACTGATCCCTCCTGATAACATGTCCAAAGTATGTGAGAAGTAGTCTCACCATCCTTGCTTCTAAGGAGCATTCTGGTTGTACTTCTTCCAAGACAGATTAGTTTGTTCTTTTGGCAGTCCATGGTATATTCAATATTCTTTGCGAACACCACAATTCAAAGGCGTCAGTTCTTCTTCGGTCTTCCTTATTCATCGTCCAGCTTTCGCGTGCATATGAGGCGATTGAAAACACCATGGCTCGGGTCAGGCGCACCTTAGTCTTCAAGGTAACATCTTTGCTTTTCAATACTTTAAAGAGGTCTTTTGCAGCAGATTTGCCCAGTGCAATGCGTCTTTTGATTTCTTGACTGCTGCTTCCATGAGTGTTGATTGTGGATCCCAGTAAATTGAAATCCCTGACAACTTCAATCTTTTCTCCGTTTATCATGATGTTGCTTATCAGCCCAGTTGTGAGGATTTTTGTTTTCTTTATGTTGAGGTGTAATCCATATTGAAGGCTGTGGTCTTTGATCTTCATCAGTAAGTGCTTCAAGTCCTCTTCACTTTCAGCAAGCAAGGTTGTGTCGTCTGCATAATACAGGTTGTTAATGAGTCTTCCTCCAATCCTGATGCCCTGTTCTTCATATAGTCCAGCTTCAAGGATTATTTGCTCAGCATACAGATGGAATAGGTATGGTGAAAGATACAACCCTGACGCACACCTTTCCTGACTTTAAACCATGCAGTATCCCCCTTTTTCTGTTCAAACCACTGCCTCTTGATCTACGTACAGGTTCCTCATGAGCACAATTAAGTGTTCTGGAACTCTCATTCTTCGCAATGTTATCCACAATTTGTTATAATCCACACAGTCAAATGCCTTTCTATAGTCAATAAAACACAGGTAAACATCTTTCTGGTATTCTCTGTTTTCAGCCAGGATCCATCTGACATCAGCAATGATATCCCTGGTTCTTCGTCCTCTTCTGAATCTGGCCTGAATTTCTGGAAGTTCCCTGTTTATATACTGCTACAGCCACTTTTGAATGATCTTCAGCAAAATTTTACTTGAATGTGGTATTAATGATATTGTTCTATAATTTCCACATTCGGTGGGATCACCTTTCTTGGGAATAGGCATAAATATAGATCTCTTCCAGTTGGTTGGCCAGGTAGCTGTCTTCCAAACTTCTTGGTATAGACAGGTGAGCACTTCCAGCGCTGCATCCATTTGTTGAAACATCTCAGCTGGTGTTCCGTCAATTCCTGGAGCCGTGTTTTTTGCCAATGTCTTCAGTGCAGCTTGGACTTGTTTCTTCAGGACCATCGGTTCCTGTTCATATGCTACCTCCTGAGATGGTTGAATGTCGACCAATTCTTTTCGGTACAGAGTGTATTCCTTCCATCTTCTTTTGATACAATTAAATACATCCTATTAAAAACAAGGAGCCCGGGTGGCTCAGTGGTTAAGAGCTCGGCTGCTAACCAAGAGGTCGGCAGTTTCAATCCACCAGCTGCTCCTTGGAAACACTATGGGGTAGTTCTACTCTGTCCTATAGGGTTGCTATGAGTTGGAATTGACTAGATGACAACGGGTTTGGTTTTTTTTTTTGTGGGTGGGGGGGCGTTATTAAAGACAAAGACAATAAATGCTCAAAGCTCTTGTCTTCCTCATTTCATTGCCCTGTTTTCCTGTTCCCTGTGCTCTGGGGTGATACAGGCATGGAGGTGACACTGTACGATGGAGAATGCCTGCACATCTCTTCCCAGCTCAGTGGCGCGGCCTTGCGACCTGGGTGACCTGGGTGAGTGGCTCAGCCTTAAAGCCTCCGAATGCGGGAAACACACCCGCTGGCCCCAAGGTGACCGAGGCTGAAGCCAGACTGTCTGGGAGGCCGTGGCCGGGCTGCATGAGGGCAGATCCACTTCCTGAGAGGACACAGCCCCCTGTGATGGGAAGATTGCGTGTCAACTTGGCTGGCCATGATTCTCAGTGCTTTGAGGTGCTGTGATGTTGTGATCACTCCCTGTTGAGATTTGGTTTGCGATTGCCCCCATGATGGGATCGGCTGTGAGCCGTCAACTGGTTGAGGGGGCGTTTCCTCAGGCATGTGGCCTGCATCGAGTGTGGGTGGACGTTCAGGCAGGGCTCGGGGGTTTTGCTCCTTTTGGAT